ACCCTCAGATTCCTATCCTAAGTAACAAACCATACACAGGGCTTAAAGTTCTCCGGCACCGTGCCGGATCTCCGGCGTGTGGCGTTTAGCTGCGGGAAAATAAGATAGTCCTCCTACATTAAAAAAAAAAAATTATTGATTTTTCTTTTATGCCAAAAATCATTAGGATATTAAGTAAAGATCATGTCCCATGAAGATATTTCGTAAATTTCCTACCGTAAATATATCAAAACGTAATGATTGATTAGTAATATGCATTGATAAGAACTTTTTAATTAAGTAATATGCATTGATATGCATTGATAAGAACTTTTTAATTAAGTCTAATTAAGTAAAGATCATGTTCCATGAAGATATTTCGTAAATTTCCTACCGTAAATATATCAAAACGTAATTTTTGATTAGCAATATGCATTGATAAGAACAACTTTGAAGGCGATTTTCTCAATATTTTGATTTTTTTTTTGTACCCTCAGATTCCTATCCTAAGTAACAAACCATACACAGGGCTTAAAGTTCTCCGTATTTAATATTATTTTAGAGTATTATAAATATAGAGTAATAAAGATAATACATTATTATCAATAATAGTTTAATAATATTAAACTGTTAATGATAATAATTATACCCATGTCCTCAGTTTCTCGTTTCTCGCGTCGTTTGGCTGCAGAAAAAAATAAATAAAAAGATAGTCCTACATTTTAAAAAACTTATTGATATCCTGTTTGAGTTCATCAGTTTGCCTACCAATGGTATGAGAGGAATACAGCTTTCACTCTCAACCAAACTAACATTACTAGCCAATCAGACATTTTTGGTCCTATAAACATGAGACAAGCATAATAGTATCCAACTGCAGAGTTGCAGCTGATGAGTGCGAGAGAACGATATGATTGGCAGAACAAATTTACCTGTAGTTTTGAAAAGTGTCCACCCCCAACCCCCGGAAAAAAAGTTCAGGCTCAGGATTTTTTTTTGCTTTAACCCCTGCATACATCAATGGAAAGCTTATTTATTCAGCTTTCAGATGATATGTAAATCTCAGTTTCCAAAAATTGACCCTTATGACTGGTTTTGTGGTCCAGGGTCACAAATGCAAAACTTTTCTGAGAGAACACACTAGGGTTTGAACGACTTCTGATTTTTTTGAAAAGTCAACTTTTATGTGATGAAAGTCGAGTTGAAGTCGACTAGTCGCTGATGACGTCATTAATGAATAAATAAGTCTGGGGCTGTGATAAACAGCTTGTGCACAGCTATGGCATATGACACAGCGCTGCCCACACGGCTGTTGCTCCTATAACAGCTAATTTTGATCAGTTCTTTTGTCTTTGGGTCGTTATATTTCTCACAGATTTCTGCTCATTCTAAATCAGATACAGATAAAGTAGATACAGATAAAGATACATTTTACTGTGATTACTGACATTTTACAGATAAAGTAGCACAGTAAAGATTACATTCATATGAATGCATTAGTGAGAGCGATTACGTGTGTGAATTAATTCTACCTGGCAGCGTCTCTCTACTAGTAGTGAAGCTGTGGAATTTAGTTAAGAAATATATGCTTGAACTTTTCAGTTTCTAAGCTATTTTATTGAGAAATCACAGAACAGTGTTGACAATACATTATAATGTACAGTATTTGAAAAATAATGTGTTTTTTTAACATTAAAGCATGTCAACATATTCTGTTACACCAAATACACAAAATAATGATCTTTAAAAAAGCATCATATGACCCCTTTAAAGCATCATGGTAGAGCATTGAAGTCGATTAGTCGGTACAACCCCTAGAACACACAGAGACACAGATAGATAGATAGATAGATAGATATTATTATTATTATTTCTTTATTTCTTTACATCATCATGTCTCTTTAGGGGCTTCGTAGAGCACTAGTAATCAAGATTTGGTAATATGAAAAAGTTTGTATCTGGATCATTGTGGTCAATCCAATTTTGCTTTTAAAAACCAGCAGAAAAGATGGATTACCCGATCCTGGATAGCAAAACCTGAGATTTCCAAATCCAGATCATTCTGATCCAGATAACAACTGGCCCCTAAAGATCAGATATCAGTTCTCCAGCTGTTGAATTTCTCTTCCTCTTCATCTTAAATTCCTGTCACCCAGGTGTCACGGTTAAGTGAGGATATCCACAACATGGGAACCCTCTACATGTCAGAGATCTGCACCGAACTTAAGAACCTTCGCTCTTTAGTGCGAGTATGTGAAATCCAGGCCACATTGAGAGAGCAAAGGTCTGTAACCCTGATTTGAATAGAATGATCAAATATACATAATAAAATGACTTTTTATGAATCCTTTTTCTTCTTTTCACACAGGATTCTGTTTCTGAGACAGCAGATCAAAGAACTTGACAAACTGAAAAATCAGAATTCCTTCATGGTTTGAGAGATGGCTGTGGAGCTCATGGCAGTCTCTCTCCAAACATGTCCAGCCCCTGGTTGTTTGGACCCCTGCTCTCAGCCCGAGCTCTCAGATTCGCAGTCGAACTGTAGGCTGCAATGCCTGAAATGGGACAGAGAGAAAGGAAGCTTCCAAAAGTGCTTATCAAGGCAACACAAGGCCCAGAGATCGTAGATTAATTTCACAGTCCTTTGACGTACATCGCTTCTCTATTCTCAGATCCACAGGCCATTAGAGAGAGATATTCAGAGAGCGCTCTCCAACTCGGACTAACCTTTGAGTAATCATGCAGTGGATCTGGTGATTCATGTGCTGGTTTTTCAGGGTTACGCCTGTGTTAATGGATCATAAAGTTCACTGTCACACTGGAGACCTAATATCCCCTTATCCTCCAGTGACTGACAGTGATTATGAATGATGTCAGAAGGGCTATCTGTGCACAAGGACGCTTCCAGCTGCACTGGCATTTCTCAAAGTGACCAACTAAAATAAGCCCAATATACTTCTGAGTGCTCATTCTCAAAAATTAGGCCTGACTGGCTGATTCTCTACCCCTCAGAAAGATTACATAGGACGCAAAAGTGATCTTAATTGACTGCAGCAAAACGAATGGGTGCTAAAAATTTCTGAATTGGTGACGTGGCACTTAAAAGCTTTTGCCGAAGCGGTAGATGCACATTTTCTAAGTTTCTGACCCTGATATAGGGGTTGTCACTTTCTGCCTTCGATGTTCCTTGTTCTTTGCAGTGCTGTTACACATCTAACAGAGATTACTTTTCATGCTGCACCCCAGCACTGTTTGACACTTTTTATTTTTTTTTATTGTTGTTTTGATTTGTTTGTATTTTCTCAGTTGTTCTTTACTCATAGAATTGAGTTTAGTCATTCCCATATTGCCCGAATTAGGAGGATGCAATGAGAGAACTCCATATTTTATACAGCTGTGGCTGCACATCAAAAATGCATCCTTCATGGACAAAAGAGGACCACGAGGACTGTCCAAGCCGACCTACTGGGGGAAGAGTATGGAGACGTACAGGATCAGATCAAGTTTTTCCTAATCTTTTACGTAAAATATCAACTAGTCTATAGGGAAAAAAAAAAAAAACTAAGCATTTAGTCAACTTGTCAGTTTGTATTTGACAAGGATGTGAAAAAAGGCTAAACTGGTGATTCCTCTTTGATGTTTGCAATGTCATTCATAGTTTTGCTCCATTGTTCTTTCTGTCTTCACTGCCCTCTGATGCAGGGTTTGAACTTAGACCAATTTTAACGCGATAGGCTGTAAATGGAGTACACTTTCAGCAATATGTTGCTTTGTATATGGTTTCTAAAAGCTACGGGAAATAAACTATTACCACATTATGTTTTGGTACGTTTGCTTTTGTGTATCGGTTGGTTTAAGACGACTGCATGCAATCATGAACTAAAAGAACTCGAACACATGCTTGAATGTTTTTCCTTGTTAGCTTTTCTGTGGAATGTTTCATGTGCACTTGGGATCTGACCATTTCAGTGTTTCAGAACCCTAGGATTAATAATAACAATCTACTTATCTGTTTTGTAAGTAGTTATGTTAGATGTATTATAATACATACAGTTGTGGCCACAATTTTATATAGTTGAAAAATCTGCAAAATGTTCATTTTAACAAGAAGGTTAAAAAAATTGCATTTTAGTATGGCACTGAGTAAGCCGTTTCACACAACAGATGCTTGCAAAATTAAAGCTGAATTTAAAGTAATTATTATAAATGACCTATTCAAAATATTATGTAAGTGATTCTTAATGTGTTGGGTTTTTTTATGTTTTGTGATCATTGTTCATGGATCTCTTGTTTGTCCTGAGCAGTTAAACTGCTCACTGTTCTCAAGAACAATCCTCCAGGTGCTGCACTGTAAAAAAAATTCCGTAAAATTTACGGTAAAGAACCGGCCCGTATATAGTAGGGGAATTTACCGTGAACCATTTAACAGGTTTTTACTGTAGCATTTTTACAGTCTTTTACCGTTAAATTCACGGTCATTTTTTACAGTGTGGGTTTACAATATCATCTGCATATTTGAACCCTTCCAACAGCGACTTCATGATTTTGAGATTCAACTTTTTTTATTCTGAAGACAGCTGATGGACTCGTACTACAAAAAGTGCAACTTTTGCTGCTATATTCAAGAAGGTAACAGAAGATGCATTAAGAGATTTTTGAAAAGGATATCTGGGTTAAATTGTATTTTGTCTTCTGGAAAACAAATCAACCTGCAAATATAAATTAACATAATATCTTAATACTGGTTAGAAGTAATTCATGAACTTGGTCATTTGGTTTCGATTAGATAAAGAGAAAATAAGAATATATTAAGCCATTGGCAATTGGTATTTTTACATACAGGGGTCACTGTAAGTTACAAGTCAAGCCATGCTTTTTTCTGCAGAATGAGGGTTAAGCTGTATTAGCTGTGCATGGGCACATGGGGAGGCAACAGTCACAACTCACGCCTGTGAATGAACAGTCCCAGCGGCTCGATGACTCTTATAGGAGGAGCTGCTCTCATTCTCAAGTCTTCAACATTTAAGAGCACTCAAGCGGACTATATACAGGATATTCTCCTTTTGAATAGTTGCGAAGGCTGTGAATCTCGCGTTCGAATTAAAACAAAAATGGATTATGTCTAACATGGGTTTTTAAATTGTATTCTAACAACTCCACGTCGGCTTTTCTGCGCACAGCTGATTTGATCTGGAAGTCTTGAAGAGCAGCGAGGACTAAACCACGATGTGATCATTTCTATCCAAAAATGTTACGAAAAGTTAACGAAGCAAGTTGGAACACATCGTGAACACTAATACAGTGTTTCTGGCTATAAAGTCCGTATCGATGCGAATCTGAAAAGGCAAAGAAAGTGCTTTTGTCCAATGCAGCGGAACAGCAGTCTCGTTTCCATTTGGCTTCAGCTCGAGCTGTGCGCGATGGCTGTTCTCCTCACTAAAGGTGAGTGAATACTGTTTATATGGTCAGAAGAGTCTCCAGATTGACCAATTAATGATTTAGTGGAACTACAATTAATTACATTTGTAATACAACCAACGAAGTGTATTTACAGCTACAGCGTATTAATAATTACATATTATTATTACACAGTAATAACAATGTAACACGAACGCTAATGTATAGTGTGACCAAAGGTTTTTTGAACACCTAATTATTTGTTATCACGTATTAGCACTTTTGTTTTGCATTGCTGGGTGTGTGTAAGTACAACTATCAATACTAAATGTTGTATTGTTCTGTCAAAGTATTAAGAACCAAAAGTCTTAAAGCCAAATTCCATTTTTTTTTTTGTAAGAAAATCCATTTGGGAACTAGGCTTTAAACAGGGGTTAAGTTGGAAAATGAATATCTATTTTTAAGTTATTTTAAGTGTTCAGTTGGAGTGAAGTTCATTCTTTTAATACGAGTAATTTCTCTTTTCTTGTAACAGGAGAAATACGGTGCTACTGCGATGCCCCCCACTGTGTGGCCACTGGTTACATGTGCAAATCGGAGCTGAATGCCTGCTTCACCCGCACCTTAGACCCTCAAAGTGCCAAGTCTCCTTTATCTCATGGATGTTACGACCCTCTGTTGAACTCTGGAAAATCTTGCCACCCAGAGTCAACCTATGACACCATTCATGGATCTGCCACACTTCAGTGTTGCCATGAGGATATGTGCAATTACAGAGGCCTGCAAGATGTCACATACAGAGGAAGTGAAATTCATGGTATGAGAAGAAGTATTTTTTAGTTATTGCTAGTGATAGACAGATAAATCAGACAATTTTTTATTTCAGTCATTAACTGTGCCCACTTGGCCAGTTAATAGAAGTACCTATTGAATTCTACCATTCTAAATCTACCAATTTGTCATTATCTACAAACAGTCTTGTCAATGAGTAATTCACAGCTTTTATTTTCAAATATTTTGGGAAATTTTGAGATATATGTGCATTGTTTCCTTGCACATGATGTGAAAGGAAACATTGTTTAAGAAATGTTAAAAGAAAAGAAAAAAAAAAAAAGTTGAGAAGTTAATTTTCAGAATGTCAGTTGCATTTCAACTGCTGTTTTAGCAATTGATCAGCCATGCTGGTCTTTAATAATGTGCACAGGCACATGGGGAGGCAAGATCTGAAATATTTAGAAACAACTTCCCCACTGTGATTGGTTGATGGTTGTGAAACAGAGTACATTTCATTTAAATGAGTAGTTGTTACAAATCTGTATGACTATTTTAGAAAAAACGTTTTTGTCCAATGTTGTTTTGGACCCCACTGACTTTTACTGAATTGACAAAACCAGTTAAATATTCTTAAAAATATCTTCTTTTGTGTCCCACAGAATATCGTGTATGTCAATGTTTTTCTTCAACTGCTTCATAAAAACATGGCCCTAAACATTCTCTGTTCTTATTCAGACAAACGGCGACATCAAACCGAAGGTAGCCATCACGTGATTGCACGACTACAGGAAATTCCTTTCTCCAAGGAGGTATGGTTCCGCGCTGCGGTCATCACTGTACCCATTGCCGGCGGCCTCATCTTGGTCCTCCTCATCATGCTGGCCCTGCGTATGCTGCGCAGTGAAAACCGCAGACTACGACAACAACGGAGAGAAATGTTGTCTCGCCTTCATTACAGCTTTCATGGCCAACACCTCACCAAGGGTCATGTGGCCAAACTGGACTTAGAGTGTATGGTTCCAGTAGGAGGCCATGAGAACTGCTGCCTGACCTGCGACAAGATTCAGCAGTCCGACCTTACCAGCCAAAGACTTCTTTCATTGGTCAGCTGGGGAAAGCACAGTGGCCAAGGCAAGCTAGAGTTTGTGTGATGGCTTAAGAATTTGCTTTCCTCCGTGGGACTTGTGTTTTATTTCAACCCTTCTAAAGGAGGTACTGCAAACAAGAACTCAAAAGAGAACACTTGAAAGCTCTAACCATATGGTTGTTGCTCTAGAAGCACTTTACTTGAATTAGAGACTTAAGGAGAAGACTGCTTGTATTATAGGCTGCGACGAGGAGCGGCTTCGTGCTGGTATTCTTTATCACCGAAGGATTCCAAAAAAATGTATTTTGGTTTTATCATGTGCACTTTTTGTATAAAGAATTTATGGTTTATTTGCTTTAATAGTGGAGAAAAACCAGTGTGTCAACACTTGTAAAAAAAATGGTAGGGGTACAATATCTTGTCACTGGGGCAGTGCCCTCAAAGGGACATCTTTGTACCTTGTTTACCCCTAATAGTCAAAGGTACCTTAAGGGTGTATGCTATTATTCTAAGGTATTAATATACACTTTTTAGGGGTAGATAAGGTCTTGGTGACATGCTGTTTTATCAGTAAGGTACAGTTTTTGCTTTTTTTTTCACAGTGAATGATGACCGCTGCTGTGTGAATGTGTGACTCTCACTGTTAAAGAGATAGTTCACCCAAAAATGAAATTTCTGACATTATTTACTTACTTACTCTCAAACTCAAACATATGGGTTTTCAGCTGTTTTTGTTCATACAGTGAATTAAATGCACTTTCAAGCTCTAAAATGGACATAAAGGTAGTGTAAAAATGTAATCCAACCCTACAAGTAATCCATATCCATAACTCATTTATACACATAAGTCATTTAATTCATTTCCTGAAGCAATATGTTCACTTAGAACAATGAACAAGCCAAAAATGTACAGGGTTTTCATTTACAAATCACATCAAATAATTGATAAACTTGTGTATACAAAGCCCAAATCAAATATGGTGATGTGCCAAAAACATCAAACCTTATTGGTGCATGTGTCATGATGTAAAGGAGGTTAAAAGTTTTGAACTTTCATTGTTTGGACAAAAACGTACAACAGAAACATTCTTCAAATACATTAATTTGTGTTCCGCAGAAGAAAGAAAATAATAGACTGAAATGTCATGAGGGTGAGTAAATGATCCCCAAATGTTTAGCTTTTTGATGAACAATCCCTTTAACATTCACCAGCCACCTCTGACCTGCTTGTAGATTGTGCTCACTGTAAAGATGTTTAACTGTAAATATTACATGTTCAACAAGGAATCTGTTTGGTATTTCGTATTTTATTGGTTCTTGTTCGATGAGATCGCATTGGGTGTGTGAAGCTGAACAGCACTAAAAGTACTCAGTGTTGTGTATGATATTGACAAGCTCATTATACCCGGAGGGAGAAGTCTTGGCTAATGCTTCAGTATGTCAACACGTGCACAGTTGCAACCGCTCGACTGAGGCATTGGAATCATTAGCAGCAGCATAAGGGCATGGCAGTGTAGTGTGGTAGCTATTACAATCATGTCTTGTTTTACAGTAGCGCTACACGTCTGACTGACTCAATTCCCAGGCCACAATCACTCAGGCTCAAACTCTTTCACTCGGCTTCTTTGGAAAGAATTTAGATCCTCTGTGTAAACTTACCCTCTCACACTACTTATTGTTAATTCCACTGGACGGAAGGTGCGCTTGACACTGGTTTCCAGTGTAAATTTAATTTTATGTTAGTCTCTTTGGCTCCTTTATTTTGCATTGTTAATAGGTAGTGCAGTGGGTCATTAAATCCTTTTACAAATAATCCCTCATGACAGCACAGCATGTCTCTTTACTCATTTTATTATTATTATTATTATTATTTTTGCAGGAAATGCAGTCAATGCACTTAACATTTACTGTCATTTTGCATTTTAGTCCATTCTGAGATCCCAAGTCTTAACAGTGTGCTTCCTCAAAAATGTGTCCCTGTTCACTTTCCAAGTCATCAGGCCACTGCACACTCGGCCTCTGGCTCATTGCACAAAAAGTTAACAGTTATTGTTGGCCCTAGAGGAGAATGCAAGCTTTATTGCAGTGAATGGGATAAAAGGCATTTTCCTCTGACAGTAATAACAGGGAACTTATTCCGTGGTCCACATATATTTTAAAACATAAACTCAAATTCTTGAATGTGCATTTTTGCAGAGGTTAACATCAGGGTCAGAGAACAGAACCACCCTTTCTTTTGCCTTCTAGGGGTTTTGGTGGTGCCACTTTTTGTAATTATCTGTGATTATTTCACAGTGAAATATATTTGTGAATTGATAACCATTAGTGGGTCCTGTGTTGGTCTTATTACTATCAGGTTTCTATTTGTGTAAATTCCTTATATGATATTTTAGATATACTAATAATCCCCTTCCTTAGTACAGTAAATCACACAAACACTTGTTAACAAAAGCCCTCAACATTTCACACTTACAGTACATTCTCATCTGATGAAGTGCTATTACAATGCCTGCTCAAAAATGTCAGATAATGTTAGATAAGTGTTTAAGTGAGTCTTAGAAATTGGAGGGAGCCCAGTGTTCCTGCAGACAAATAAAAAGTTTGAAAGGAATTAAAAAAGCAAGACAGATTAATTTAGATTTCTCAAAACAGCTCTGACCCCTACTTTTTTATGCCTTGAACACTATTGAGTGAGGGAATGTTTGGTTTCTGTGTCTAGAATGAGGAGGTGCCTGATTTGGGGGGTTTCAGCAATGCCTTTGTGCCTTCAACCTTTCAAGACTCCCTCAAATCCCTGGCCTGTTCAGAACATGATCAGCAGAGCAAGTGTGCACTTTGAACTTGTAGTGTGTGAGGAATGTGGATTAATGCATGAGCGCATAGCAAGTTCTCTTTTCAAGGGCACACAGGCCATTCTCTCACATACAACAGCTGAAATACAGAGGCACATGCCCAGAATGAGCTAAATTAGTTATCAGTTCGACATGAAATGGTAAGGTTTAGTTCTGAAAACTTCTCAAGAGCTCTGAATTTGTGTATTTGGACAGAAACATCTGCAGGCAAACAACAGTAAATTTAATTTAGCTTTTGAATCTTTAACTTGTATACTGAGAAAGTGAGAAAGAGTTTGAATGTGATATGCATTATTTGCATATTTGAGTGCGATATGCATTATTTTGTGTTTAATAGCATATTGTGTTGTTAGTTTAGCAACATCCGCTGTTGGCAAACTACTGGAATCAACTATAAGTGTTGGAGTCTTACTTGTGGTTCTTGTGAAGATCACGTGTGATCATTAAACAAGTCCCTGGCATGTAAAGCATTCCTAATTAGTCACTTATGCAGTTCCATTTCAGTTTGAATGCTTTATTGAAAGGTAGCTTCCTTTGTAGACAATAGGGCATGCAGCTTGCTAGGTTTAAGAACAGAGCCAAAGAGTTGTCAGAGCTTTGAGCTGTAATGACAGATTGCAGAAAAAAACAGTCATTTCAAAATGTGTAACTGTAAAAAGACGTTTATGAAAAAGCTAGAAGAGAAGCTCAGCCAGAGCAAAACCTTTGCCAGGTGGTTCATAAAGACCTGGAACAGCTTCTAAATCTGCAATGTTTTCTTCAACCTTCACTCACTCCAACTCTGCTAACAGACAGGAAGTACTTAGTCACTTGCTGTTTACCTCAGAAGTTGCAGATATTCTATACCTGAGGGGTCTCACACTTGTAACTTTTTGATGTTCACCTTTTGATTTTTCATCTTGTGGTAGTCGGGGAAGTAAAAGGAAAAATATAGGCTCTTTTGATCCTCAACTCAAAGGACATTCAACAAATATTACATCACCAAGCAGAGGGGAAACTCGTTTAAAGTTTGTTAGCACTGTAATATTTCAACTTTAACTGGCTAGCTGCTAACATTTATTTTGGTGATTCAAGTATAAAATTCGAAGTGATTTGAAAGAAACAAGCAATTTTTATTACAAACATGAGTCAAACTGGAGCATATTCATTACTTTTTAATTGTTTTGAAGGGGGGAAATTATATTCTTATAGAAAGATAAGAATTATGTTGACAAAGCAGGGACTAAAGAACAACAATCTGAAAACGCCACATAAATTATGATTAGAAACATCAAATTTAGGGGGTGTAGCACAACCAGCACTCCCTGGATCTGGGCCCTGTTGTTCAAGAGGGGTGTGGAGTTTGAATTTGAACATTCCTTTTGTAACTAAATGGGGGGAAACAGGATTAAGAAGAGAGAAAAGGAGATGAGCGAGTGAGTTATCAGAAAACAGTGAATATGGAGCTTAAATGAGATTAAAGATTCATATGTGATTTTTCTACACATTTGAGAAATGGCAGCTTTATAGTTTTTGAAGTATAGCCAAGTATAGAAAATGAAGTATAGAAAAGTAATGAAAACAGATATAGGTGGACTGGGAATCATAAATAACTTTTGGCTCAATGTCCATTCTCAAAACAAAATGTTCTAAGATCAACATAAAACTTTGGAGCTATCGGTTGAATTTTCCTGAATATTGGCAAGGAACTAAATATAACATTCCTATAACAATGACACATACAACTGGATATTAACCATAAATGGTTGTGTGTTAGTCAGATAACTACACTCTAAAAATGCTGGGTTGTTTCAACCCAATTTTGGGTCAAATATGGACTAACCCAACTGTTGGGTTAAATTTTGGTTACATTTTTAAATTAACTTTTTAACCCAACAGTTGGGTTAGTCCATATTTGACCCAAAATTGGGTTGAAACAACCCAGCATTTTTTAGAGTGTAGTTATCTGTAAACCCACTGATATCGAATCAAACTCGCTCCAAGGCAACAAACTTTCCACATTTAACTAGCACAATGTTCTACAAATGTTCATCATTCATGAAACAGCAACACTCACTAAAATGTCAGACTCCTAACATTCAATAAATTGTTGTCATATCTTATATGATTGCCACACAAAATAAACAAGATACAGTAATATCTGTTTTTCTATTATGTTTTATGCTAATAAACAACCAGAGACATTGGAGCCACGTTGAAAAACCAAAATGTATTCAGACTACTTATTTTCTGCCCCCTGTTTAAGTGAGGGAGTGATTTTCACAACTGTAATTTTCAGAATCATGATTAAAGTTTTGAAGTTTGGAAATGAAAGATCTTACAAAGCCTCACCACGCAGCCGCACAGAAACTACTATGTTCTTGTTTATCAAAGCCTCATGCTAACTACTGAAAACAATATTCACAAAGGCAGTCTTGATCCGACAGTGAGGGGAGACTGAAAATGTTGGCTTTTTCAGAGAAGCCATATATTTGAGCAAGCCTTATATTTGTCTGTAAAATAGTACCGCCTTTGCCCCCCAACAGCATTTCTCTTACTGGGTACTATTTTCTTGTGGCCTTGTTAAGTACTGTCTAGTTGGTATACATAAGGCTTGTGATGAGGGCAGGAGGATTTATTATGCAGTAGTGGCACATATATTCTCCTTTTGCCAGACGAACATGGTCAATAGTCCAGGCTGCATCACAAGTCAGATTATGGATTGATATATTTCAGAATATTTAATCCAGTTCATTCTCCCTGAAGATCGGGATACAT